CCAATCACTCATTAGAAAATAAATTAATTAATAATTTAATTAATTAGTAGAATTTCTAACTTATCTACATGATTAAGAAAATCAAATTTAATCATTTTCTTAACTATAGTATACAAACAAAATTAATAATAAAGTAATACATCATTTATAGTAATTAATTTATGTTAATAGATTATTTTTTAATGATAGAGTACTAGAAAGAATGATAACAATGAAAAAAAAACAAAAGAATGACTACCATTCTCACTCTAACTTAAGTAGTAAACTCACATGATGAAAGTGGCATATCTCCCCGAGTCTTGCATATAAAATTTGGCTGTTCAAAATGGATAAAAAATCGAATCAAATTGGAACTGAACTCGAATTGAGTCAGTAACAAATCAGTTCGGTCTAAACTGTTTATAAATTATTCGATTTTGAAGACTATAAATAATTTTAATTTAGAATATCCTTTTTTGATTCACTTAATCAATTTAAATCAAATCAAACATAATTTAATTTAAAAGATATCGATCAAGATCTTGGTTTGATTCAATTGAATTGAATCAGTTAATTTAAAAACTATCATTTTTTAAAAAATAATTTAAAATTATAAATTAGTTAATCAGTTAACTAAATCAGATTGATTAATTTTAAAATAATTTGATTAAATAAATCTAAATCGATTTCAATTTAGACTATACCAAACCAAAAATAGTTTGGTTTAAACTGATTTGAACATCCCAAACATAAAGGATAGAATATCATACAGTTACAAATCAAACTATGAGTTTCACCACTCACATATAATTTGTGAAAAATTTCTCATTTCATTAATTAATATATTATAATATTTTAGTTCCTTTTAGGGGTTCAAATAAAAATATATATAAATTAAAAAATTATAATTTTATCAAATCAGATATATAATTTGTTTTGGAAGATAATATAATGAATTGATTTGAGAAAAGCAGATAATATTCTTGAATTGATTTGAAAATATTTTTTTAATATTCTTATTGATATAATTACAAAAATAAAATTTTTAAGATCTTCAATCAAAATTATAATCTTCAATGAAAATCGAATTTGATTTCTTTTCTGTTTTCTCTATTTGTTTTTTTTTTTGCCTCCTTAAGTGGATATTGCTATATGACAACCACTTACAACATATACAAAATATGTTTAAACTAATTAAATTTATTTAATAAGAGATAAACTAAATAGGTTTTGCATGAATGACACTACGATCAAAAGATTAGCGTACATACTCCAATTCCATTAGTTAAATAATCAACATAAACACATAGAATATACTAGGAAGGCTTTTATGCTATAAGAGTTCCAAGTTTTCTTTTCTTCAAAACTTTATGTGGATTATATTTTCGATGAAGGAATGATGTAACTGAGGACATGCAACCAAAGTAGATATACTGTATTGAGTAGCCTAGTGCAAGACCAAGTTATGTTCATGCTTATAAAGCACAAATTGTTTCGGAATACTTACGTGATTCTTACAGATACCTTTACTATGAACAAGTTATGTTAATGTCTATGCAGCACAAATTACATCGATGCTTATAGATATAGATACAGTTACTAACGAACAGTAGAAATTGTAATTGCACTCTGTTTTACCCCTAACGAGTCATTAATGGGCTTATCAAACCTTTAATCCAAAAGAAATCCAACAGTCCGACATACTTGTAGCCGACACTAAGCAGCCTTATGTTTATCCTTGGACGCGATTGGTTGCTGCATGGGTCTCACCAGTGGGTCCTCATTCCCGGGGCAGTCACGTACACGACGTCGGCAATTTTATTTAATGTCGACGGACTTGCTTCGCAAGCCATCACCGCACCGCCTTCGAGTCGAAGATTCTGCTTTGACTATCCGAATGACGGCGTCATCTCAAACGTCACCCTTTTCCCCGCCGCCGCCTCAACGTTGTACAACCCACAATGGTCAACTGTCCCCCATCCTTGGATGCCGTTCACGCCTCTCCAACATTCGTGGCGATCTCTCACTTGCGGAAACGAATCTTCGATCGTCCGATTTGAATCTGACGGTCCTAATATGTTCCTTGTGGGGCGTGCCAAGTCGGCCCGGCAAATCCCTGGTTTGGCTCACCAGTCTCGGCCCAGCATCAGCCAGTAAATTGGAGCTTGCCATTCGTCAGAAGCTGATTGCAGTCGAAAGGTCCCGTGGCGCCGCCAATGAGAAATGGTCTTTTCCTCAGTGATGGCTAGGACAAAACACGATAATTGCACCCGTTGCTCCACTCGGAATCACGGAGAACCAACGAGGGACCCACTGGCCTTCTGACTGTGGGAAGCTAAGAGAACCGCGTGGGTCCCACTTTTGTTTTCTCTAATCAGAAGGTCGGCATAAGTCTTTAACGGTTACATAAAGCATCACTCCTCATCTCTATGGATCAGCCTGAAATGTCCAAATAAAGACAATTACAATATTATTTACAATATTAATAGATAATAATTACTGTTGCAAAATTATTATTATTAGGTGGATTAACTTTCTCGTTGAATCTTCCGTGTTCTCTCAATTGCATCATCCATTCTCTCACCACACCACAGCTTTACATATATATATATAGTCCCATCATTTGCATCCCCTTCGCAATTCTCCGTTTACTCTCAGAGCAGATCGATAGACATGCCTTGCGAGGTGATGGCCGCCTGCGTCCAGAGCTGCTGCGCCAAGTCCGCCATGATCAAATCCGTCGCTTTTGACGCTACCCGATCTCTCATCCACGGGACCGGTCTCTGCCAGCTCATGGTCGACCTCTCCCTCGTCGACGAGGTGTGGTGCAGGATACAGGAAGAGGCGCGAGCCGTCGCCGAAGAAGAGCCCCTCCTCCACAAGCTCTACGACGACCTCGTCCTCTCTCATGAAACATTAGAATCCGCTCTCTCCGCCAACCTCGCCAGCAAGCTGGCCGTACCCGCCCTCCTCTCCACCAGCGTCCTCCGGGATCTATTCTCCGCGGTTCTGGGGAACGACCCTGAGATCCGACGGGCCATCCGCGTCGACCTCCGCGCCGCTAGGGACCGTGACCCGGCTTGCGATAAGATGGTACATTGCTTCCTCTACTACAAGGGCTTCATGGCGCTGCAGGCGCACCGGGTGGCCCACCGACTTTGGATCGAGGGTCGTAGGTCGGTGGCACTACTGCTGCAGAGTCGCGTGTCAGAGGTCTTCGCGGTAGACATCCACCCGGGGGCTCGGATCGGGGCCGGCGTGTTGTTGGACCACGCCACTGGGTTGGTGATCGGCGAGACGGCGGTGGTTGGAGATGACGTCTCGTTCCTGCACGGTGTCACGTTGGGCGGCACCGGAAAGGAGATCGGCGATCGGCACCCGAAGATCGGCGATGGGGTGCTGATCGGCGCTGGGACACAAGTGCTGGGAAATGTGAGGATCGGGAAAGGGGCAAAAATCGGGGCCGGGTCGGTGGTGCTGAAGCCGGTGCCGCCGAGGACAACAGCAGTGGGGAACCCAGCAAGACTGATCGGCGGCAAGGAGAAGCCGGTCCGTTTGGAGAGCCGAGCCGGCCTGACCATGGACCACACCTCGTGGTCGGCTTGTACCACCTGAGAACACTCGGTTGCTGCGATCATCATCATTAACAGTGTAATTGTCGAGTGCACTGAGGAAGGAGCTCAGCTCAATTTGTTTTGAGCCGTCTCTCTTTCTCTCTTCCTTTCCCTTATTACCTTCATATAATATGGTCCAGAAACAAGCAAGAAACAAGGTTTTCGCGGGTTCCCTTTTCCCTTATTTTACTTTGCATCAAAAGGGAGCTTCTGTAATCTTTTTTGTCTGCGTCTCTGTGTCTGGTTTGCCGTTGATGATAGCTGCAGAAAGCATCTGGTAAGGGTATATGCTTCTGTTGTACAGCAGTGGCTGCTGCTCCCCTTGCGTGAGATGGAATGGACAAGGAACTGTCTCGCTTCCTATACTTTTATTGTGGTCTCGGAAGAATCCCCTTACAAGATACTGTCTCTTGGTTTCTTCTCGCATTGTTTTGATCGGAAAGCTTGCACGCCATCGGTTGGAGAATTCAGACTAGGTTTGAATGAGCGCCTCTTGCTTTTTTCACACACTTTATAGCGGCGCCCACATTTACTACACGGATTCATGGATATCGCTGTGCCACATTTCGCTTTGACGACCAATGGAAAACAGCACCCTAACGTGCCACCTTCTCATCCTCGATCTAAAATAAACCCACATGTACCAGTGAGATTTCAAAGTACTAAGCTAGCTTGTGCGTCAATTACGTGTCGTCACCGAGTAGTAAAACAAAAAATATTTTTAATTAAAATAAATTTATTTAAATCTTTATTTTACTAGATCCTTCTCTATCTCATCTCTTCTGATTACATCATCCATCTACAAATCTTCTTGGTATATGTTAACGTGTCTACTTAATTCAACTTATTCGCTCTCACTTGCACTGCCTCTTATGTCCTCTTGCTTTATTCGCCCAGTTTTGGGACCAAAGACAAGTTGATGGTGCCGCCAGAGAAGATATGGTTAGATAAGGTAGGATAAGCATAAGCACCAACGTTACCGTTACTTTTGTCATTATCACCAATACCATCATCGCCAAAGATATTATCCCTACATGATTAAATGAACGTCCTCATTCCCATCACTTTCTTAAGATCTCAAATCTTCTCTAAAACATCCCTAATTTCATTTTCTTTCGAGAACATGAAGCCAATAACTCAAAGCCCTTTTTCTTGTTTTTTTTTCCTGCCCAGCGGCAAAGAAAACATAACATGGTAGAAGAAGAAGAAGAAGAAGAAATTTGAAAGATTCTACAGGACCATTGAATAGATTTAGAAGTTATGCTCCTCTCATGTACAAGAATCTTCCCATGAATTTAAGGTGAAATTAGCCAGCCCAAGATAATGCATTCTACCTTAATGTTGTTCCATTTGCACTAGATGAGATGAGACCTTGCAAACCCCAGCGAGTGAAGCCAATGCCACATCCTTGTGGCAGGCTACCAGCTCAGCATCTGTAAGTAGGTCACCTGCACCTTCTCACAGACCTGGCTGATCTTGGCACTCCAAATGGTGTCAGGCTCACCAGAATACCAAGGAAACGCCACTCACTGTCTTACTACAGCTGATGCAGGTGGGTCAAACAATTCCACCTGTAATTTAATTACCATGTTAGCATATCGTAGTCAACCCTTGAATAAAAACCCGAAATACCAGTTTTCTAAGTTGTAGTTAGGAAAGCAACTTATTTGAGCTATAAATAACTCATTTAAAATCCAGAAGCAGAAAGATGAAGGCTATTAGGTCAAACTTAAACATCGTACAATCCATCATTAGAAGATAACTTTTTAGAAACTTTTTATGATGATAATAAATTAAGTTCCCAACAATATTGTACTCTTAGGACACCTAGTCTGACCGAAAAAAACCTTCTAAAACTGTTGCCTAAATTTGACTCTGATAATCCTGGGAAAGAAATATGAACCAATTCTTAGAAGTAATCATTTTCATCGATTTTCTATCAATCAACACAAAAAAGTCATATGCAAGAATGAAATTTATAGACTGACAAGACCCTACTCCATAAATAAATAAATTGATGAAGATCTACATTGGGGCTTTTCCTCCACAACTAATATGTTTGAAGAGTAGAACTCATGTTTTTGGCAAATGCTATCTTTGACTATATTTGATGTCCACAAGTTTTTTCCATGATCAAAAGCCTGACAAGTAGAGCTTCGACCAATCGTGTGATTCAATGTCCTCATGCTAATTGTCATCCACCAATCTATAAAGGCAAATTGAAGACCTGGCATGTTATATACCATGTTTTATCCAAACATTTCAATGCACCTTAAGATATGTTGATGTGTCAAATACCCTGTCTTCCATTGCTTTTAATCATCATAGAGGTGAACTAAACAACACCGTGGATCTTCAAACAGGTCATTTCATATATTAAAAGCTTAAGTAACAAAGGGAAAGCCAAAGAAGTTGTTCGAAATAAGCATAAACCTATTAAACCTGCTCTCAAATTTTTGGATCAACACCCCAACAGTTTCCCATATTTGATAACAAGAATTCTTGAGCTAATGGCCACATGTGAACACGTGAAAGGTATTGTATGTGTTTGCTGAGTTTGTACCGAAACATGCCTAAGCTAATGTTTGCCTTATGCTGATCATCATAGAGGAATGTAGGCCAATATCGTACAATGTCATGCTATCGATAGAGGCATCAGCATATGACCTTATCCATAATTATCCTTGTTTGAGGACAGCGAAACTGGACTTGTTTTTATGGAACCAAAAGCTCACCACTAATAACCTGCACTCAAACCTGTTAATCTATGCTGTTAAGGTTCATTCAGCAAATTCTTCAGGAGGAAGACAAGGTAAAAACTAAGAGACATGCCAATACAGAATTCCAACTTGACTCCCAGGATCAGCCAAACCCAATCTGACTGAGCCAATCAGAATCAGAAGTGGTTGAGTCTGATCTTGAGTAGCCCAGTCACAAGGGGAATTTTCAGGACTCAGAATTAGACAAGAGGAGCAATGTCCTTATTTTTGGTCTACTCTGGGCAATCCTGCCCGATACCAACAAACTTCTGCTCGATCTTTATTCTGGCAAATTCCAGAGTTTTGTCCAAGTATAAGCCACTTGCACCAATTGCTTGCTGATGTCCAGATATTGTAAAATAAAACAACCGATAAAATAATCCACTTAAACTTAAATCCTACACGACCATTTCCAATTCTATGAACCTTGATGTAGAAGGCTCTCTATGAGAAACTATAAATCTCCAACCTTAGAGAAGGAGAATTCTGGTGAGCCCTAGGAGAAAAAGGATTCAGAAAAATGATCTTTTGAGGGCACAAAAAGTAAGCAATGGTTATTTAGAACTTAAAAATCAAATTCGCTGCAACTAATTTCATTTTATATTTATAAACAGGATGCCACAAGTATATAAGCTTAAATTACTTTAAAAGATCATCCAATAAACTTATTACCATCACTAATAACTTCGAATTTTAGTACTAAACAGAGGGAAAATTACTGATTAAGAAATATATAACAAAGATTATTGGGAAGGTACAAACTTGTCACAAGTCTCCCTGGAGGAGCAATTCTCCTTCATAGCCCTGTCTCGGCAGCGATCCGGTTCGCTTCCATCCCACACATACATACTGCATTATACCCTCGAATCCAGCAATATCAAGCAAGCACATCCCCTTTCAAAACATCTTAATCCAAAATTAGAAAAAAGGTCTCATATCTCATTCTCATAACACTAAAAAGTCCTGAAAGAATCATTGTTTGGAACGAGAAAAAAAGAAGAAAACATAAAATTGGATGGGAAAATTACATCCACGTTGTCGACGTTGGGAAGGGAGCGGCGGTGGTAAGGAGGATGTTCCGGTAGTAATGCAAAGGAAGCCTGGGGGAATTCTCCGCCGACGTGTCCCCCATCGCCAACTCAATCGAGGCGAAACAGAGGAGAGACTAATTAGGTCCGCCGATGGTTTTGTCCACGTTTCCATAGGGATTTCGAAGTAACTGATCGACATTCGTCCGGAAGCCAAACAAGAGGAAGAAATCGCACACGATGATCGTTCATGGGTTTATGACCGTTTGGATTGCCTTAAGATGCGCAAAAAGAAAATCCAACGGTGAATAGAAAATTATTACAAGGAATGCATGCCCTGACGATTAAAATGTGGAACAACTTGCAACGGATATCGAGCTTTTTATTCACACAACCCCCACATTTAAACATACATACGTATATAATGGTTTCATTATTTCATTAATATTTATTCTATCAACATAGGACTTATCCCCTGAAATAGAGTCGGAAGACTTTTTAGCTCACCAATAGCTGATTACCGCATTATCAGATCAGCAGAAACAATTGATTTCATACTGAGCAATTCACTTACTGTTCTACTTGTGACACCTACTGTTGAGACACAGGATGAAGACGACAGAGAAGACTTTTTTTAGAATATATATAGATATATATTTGGTGTGCTTTGCTTATTTCTAAGCATAAAATGTTTAGTAAAATGCTCTATCCAACTGTCTGTATCAGCTGAAGTATGCAAACTGATGCACTAGTGTTTCTGGAGGTGGATCCGATGAATGAATCCTTTTTTCTGCTAAAAAGAGATCTGCTATGTTAGTGATGACGCAGGGAATGCTCACCATAGAAACCACTATTTGATTTGTGATTACTGTTCCGATAATAGGAACGAAAAGAACACAGTGACAACCAACAAACCATGAAAGAAGAGACTGACAACCCAGCATACATGTTATAGGTGAAGGACTGTGTGTGTAGGTGGCAGTGTGAGTGATCGCTTAACAAGGAAGCGATTCTGTCTTACTGCATTAATTCACATAAACTGTTGATCCAGGATGATGCGAGGAGAAACTATTTAAGAAGAATAAATTTGTAACAGGTCCTTTTCTTTTGAGAGGCTTGGAAGATGGACTCTTCTCCAGCTTCCACGTCTTCTTCCAATTCTAAAATCTGATCAAACATTTGTTTGGTTACAGAGGAAAAAAATTAAACATATTTGTTTTATTTTATTCTACAGGTGCTTGCATCATCATGGGAGCACCAACACCAGTGAGCCCAGTCTAAGCAAAAATTCTGTTGGATCAGAAATTAAGCTAGATACATCTGATCAAAAGAATTAACAACAAATTTAATGCATGTGAGAAAAAGAGAGTTCAAAAAGAAAGAACCTGGAATATTTTGAGTTTTATCTCTTGTTTCCAATATATTGGTAAGTTGCCTCTAATACCTCATGAGTTGTTATTAACATGGGAGCAGTTTCAAGCTCTTATGTCTGCTAAGTTTTTATACCTTGCCTTGGAGTCATTAGGAATAGCCAGTTTCATAGCAGTTGATGCAAGCCGTTCTTTGTCATGCTTCTTTTTCTTGTTCGGAGTACTGCTATAATCTTCCAATCCCCATCCTTATTTTGCTTGTTCTCTGAAATAGTCCTTTGGATGGTCCTGATTTTCCATTTGCCATGGAATCAAATTCATCAAAATAGATTTTGGGATGAGTTGCAACATGGTCTCTAGGATGATGGATTGACAATAAGCAAATAAGAGCATTATAACTTAAAACAGGACTGTATCATCATTAATGAATCAGCATGCCCAAGTGCCAAAAATATGCCATGGATTACCATCTTTTGGCAATTTCAGAGGGGGGAAGTTTCCACCCTCATAACAAGGTAGAAGCTGATTCAACCTATGGCTTCAAAGAACATTAAGATGCAATCGTGAGCTAGATAACATGAAGGTTTAGGCAGTGAATAACTTAATTTTGGAAGAGAGAAAAGAAGAGTAAAAAATGAGTGAGAATTTGAATGTCTGAAGAAAAGAAAAATAAGAACTTTTCATGCTTAACACAGTTAGCTCTACCACTGATTACTAATTTTCAAAAAATTAAACGAATGCTGTACATGTTATGATATTAAATAAATAAATGTGTTCCGCTGTTGGAGAAAGGAACAGAACCAATAATTGCCAAGTAAAACTTTTTCTCCTACTAAAGCGAAAGCTAAATAAAGCAAAAGCTACGTAAAGCAAACAAGTAATTATCTTAAGGAAACAAATAAGATACAGTCAAACACAGCAAATTTTATTATAAAAAAATGGTTTGTTTTGACGTGAAAAACACATGGACTGAAAGTCCACACTGCAAACTTCCACTATATTGAATAGCAACCTTATAATGACGTCTTCTTTAGTCAAACCAGACAATAACTACGGCAATTACCATCAGAATAATGCAATCTTGAAATATTAGCATATACATGGCCATCACCATTATTATGATGGAACCAGATCAGGAGAAGAAAATGGACGGATCTCATAAAGATGGGCTGTAAAACATCATACAAAAGGCTGCTGTAAAGAACTCCAGTCCCGCACATGTTGGGACCGAAAATCGTGTAGATTATCAAGGTTGGAAAATAAGGTCATTCACATCAATTGTTAGCTGGTGGCTTTTCTGGGCTTCTTTTCTGGGTAGTCCTCAGAATATGATTCCCAACATTACCACACATTATACTTTCTGAGTGATAATTTATTCATATCAGTGTTATGAAAAGGCACTAGAGCGAAATGTGATGCTTTTCAATATAAAAATTATATAAAAAAATATATATTTTTTGTGAGAGAGGGAGCAGAAAAGAAAAATTTGCATTTAGTTTTTATTGATTTAGAGAAAGCCTATGATGGCATTGCTAAAGATTTATTATTGTGGTCTTAGAAAACAAAAGTATATCCACTAGTTATATTGATATTATTAAGGATATGTATGATAATGTAACTACTAACGTTAGAGGTATAAGGAGTGTGTCTAGTGAGTTTCCTATTAGCATGGAATTATTTTAAGAATCTACACTATGTTCCTATCTTTTTATATTGATAATGAACCAATTTACTAGTCATTTACAAGATAAACCTCCTTGGAGTATATTATATGTTGATGATATTATCTTAGTTGTTGAGAGCCTAAAGAAATTAATTATAAACTTAAGTTATGAAGGCAATATTTAGATTTAAAAGTTTTAAATTAAATAGGACTAAAATTAAATATATGAGATATAGTTTTAGTAACTCTAGGAATAACAAGAGGATATGGTTAAGTTGGATAAACATGAAGTTCCTTTAAGTAAAAATTTTAGATTTTTTAGATTAATTATTCAACAAGATAAAAAGATTAATAAAGATATTATCCATAGAGTAAAATCAAGATGGTTAAAATGGTAAAGGGGCATCAAGAGTCTTGTATGATCATTAGATATATTTGAGATTAAAAGAAAAATTTTATAAAACAGTTGTTAAAACAACAATGCATTATGGATCCGAGTGTTGAACGGTTAAGAAATTACATATACAAAAAAATTATATTACTAAGATGAGAATATTAAGGTGCATGTGGAGTTAGTAGGAAAGATAAGAAAAAAATTATTTTTTCGTAAACAACTAGGTATTGTTTCGATAGATGATAACGTAAAAAAATTATTTAACATGATATAAACATTTGTTTAGGAGACTTACGAATATGATAGTTAGAAGAGGTGAAATAATTACGTTAGTGGTATCAAAGGTAAAGGAAGCCCTAATGAGACTTTAGTAGAAATTATAAATAAAGTTTTAAATATATTTAACTTAACTAAATATATGACTTTTTATAGAACTCAATGATGGAAAATGATCTGTGTAGCTAACCCCAAATAGTGGGACTTACGACTTTGTTATTATTGATATGTTGTTTAGGGTGGTTTAGTACCAGTAAAAGATCAGAGGGATGATGAGGGTAGCTTGAGAGCTCTTCTTAAGCTGATTTGGTTCAGGCACTCACCCTAAGCTTAGGCTCAAGCGTATGCTTGGAATATTCCTAGTTAAAATAACCCATTGGAACCCAAATGAGGTGATCAGACCTCGCCTTACCCAAGTGCCTAAATGAACACCAACCATTATTCGTACACAAAAACCAAAAGTTGCCTATACAAACAAATAAATCTTGGGATTCTTTCACGGAGACAACTTCTTAAGTTCATAACTAATAGACTATAAATACTTGATAAAGTAACTAAAGCAATAAAACAGTTGCCACCCAGTATGATCCACACCACATATAATTTAAACTTTTGGTGCAAAAGTGGTGCATGGACCAACCACGCTGACAATTCCAAGCAGGTTAGCCCAAATCTTAGGTACTCAATTTTGTTTAAGTTTAATATTGGGCTAGTTCCATACTCAACCAGTCCAATACTTTAAGCATCTCAGTTCAAGGTTATCAACAGATTTGGGGTGCGCTTGAGAACACATTTGAAATGTACATTGAGGGTTCAATACGCGTTTCAAATCTGAATTGGTGTTTAGAATTTCTTTTTTCAAATTCAATTTGGCTTGGATGATGTATTACCAATGCTTAAACACTAATGCTACCTTTGAATAGCATTAACATTTCAGCATTTGTGGAATACTAATGAAATTTTCAAAATTTTCAAAGTACCCTATGACATTCTCCAAAATCCACTATATAATAGGAACCATAACCTTATGATATTTTCTTAATGTAATGACATGATTTAGTGAGAAACCAATATGATTTGTCTTCTATAAGGTAAAATTGTATTTATTTATTTTCAAATATTATTTTACACTCATTTATATGATTATTTATTTATTATATATCTAGGCCATATGAATTTTTTTTTACAAGATTACATTAATTTATTTACTTATTATTTAAATAAAAATATGTATTCGCTTTTGAATGAATATTAAAAATGATACAAGGGTAAATTTATCACATAATATTCAATGAATTTTTGAAATATAATTTTATCAAACAACACTTCTGTCAATGCATATTTAAAATGTAATTTTCATATAATTTTTACCAAACACTCAAAGCATTTCATAACTACATATTTACTCAAATCTCTTTCTCCAAATGCACATTAAAAATACAAATGTGTTCCCTAATGAACACTTGATCCTCTACTTCATATATCAATAAGACGAAAAGGATTCTTGCACAAGACAAAAACAGAATAAAAACGATAATAAGCAAGATATGAAACAAAATGACACAAAAGATGCTAGAAGAAGAATAAACAAACAAAAGAAAACAATGTTGCAAATGAATTCCCCCCTTTCCAGTCTCTGCATGGAGAGTCTAAAGTTTGGCTCTTCTATTATTTGTTCTTTTTACTTTTGCAATATCTTATTAGGAAGTTATCTTGTTGTCTTTGGTTGACACAGTAGCAAAAAATGAGATGAAACACCTTTTTAAGGAGGATATTAGTCATATCTAACGAATTACTATGTAATAGAGGCTAAAGATCCTAAAATAACCTTTATCGCATATTTGATTGGAGGCTTGAATACAAAATGTAAAATTATGTTGTTGTATCAGCTAGTAACCATATAATCACATCATTTCACACTTTATCAATGAGTCTCATTGAAATATTTTATAGTCAAGAAGAATATACTTTTGAAGTGAACACTTCAATGTACATCTTTATTGTCTAAATAAGTAATCCATCTTTCACAAAGATGGTGACATGCACTAAAATATTATCATTTGACAAACAAATGGGATAATATAATCATCATTGTAAAAAATCTTATTTTAAATTGGAGTTAAATACTACCTTAAAATTGTTTGGATTTCTGGTTAAGAACTTCCGAGCTGTTTCTGCATTTGCTAGAGCCTCCCATTGGCATACTTCACTCATTCTCTGAGGGAAAAATCCTGGAAGTCGTACTTGGTAAGTTGAAAAGAAAAAAAGTAATATAATCTACTAAAAGATGATACTAGCATTTTTTTCAAGTTACACATACCTTTTGTTCGATCCCACTAATGACAAATATGTATTCAGCTGAAAAGTTGATTCTCATGAGAAATGATAGAATGATTACTGCAGAATTAATTTGTCTGAATCTGAAACTCACTTCACTTGGCTGACCATCAATTCAGCAGCTCACCTGAACAATGCCTCAATATTCAACAGCTGAACAAGAAATTAGTCTCAGGTCTCCAGTATCTCAACTATTGAAGTTTTTGATGATTTGTCTTTTGCAGACAATTCTCTGGCCAGAATAGCATGAGTATGTAAAGTGGGCTTGCAACCCTTAGCTTCCATTATCTGGAGAAACTCTGTGCATAGAGTTGGTTTGCCTCCCTTTATAAGTCCATCAATTAGTATTGTCCAAACAACTTCATCAGGGCTCCAGTGCTGCAGAAGCATACAATGGAAAAGATTCTGAGCTTCTTGCACCCTATCAACTTCGCATAAGGCACATATTAGTGACTTATAACCCATTAGACATGGCTCGAATCCAATGGAAGTCATTGCATTCAGTAATTCCAAAGCATGTTCAATTTTCAGATTATTTGCATAAACTTGTAGCAAGGAATTATAGATCTCTTCATCTAGAGGCAGGCCTTGCACAGCCATACTTTTGACAACCTGATCTGCCTCAGACCACCTACCTTCTCCACATAAGCCACATACCAAGGTTCTATACTCATCAATATTCAGTTCATATCCATACTCGGGTAATCTCATTAATAGACTAGAAAAAATATCTACACTGGTAGCTTTTTCATCTATGCTACATGTGGAGACTGCATTTGGCACAGCTGCAAGTTTCTTTGCTGTCAGTTGTTTCTCCTTCCATAATCCTTTCATCAAAACACTGTACGTCCAATAGTTAGGTTTATTTCCGGTAGTGACCATCCGCTTCAATAGTGAAAAGGCATCATCGACCCTACCTACCATAATCCAACCATCCATCATCGAAGTATATGTAACCTCATCTGGAACTAATCCTCTGTCTTCCATTTCCAAAAACATCTTCTCAGCATCCTGAGCCTTGCCCTCCTGACATAAGCCATGGATGAGAGCACTATAAGTATGAAGATTTGGTGAACAGCCTTGCTCAACCATTTCATCCATGACTCTTATTGCAACAGATGTGGCACCATTCTTGGACAACCCATTGATCAGAGATGTATAAGTTACAACATTAGGCAACAAACCTCGTTGAACCATCTCACTACATAGTTTTTCTGCTTCTGCTAACTGATTTTGCTTTGCAAAACCACTAATAATAGCATTAAAAGTCTGCAAATTTGGCTTGCAGCCATTTTCCTCCATATTATTCAATAAGGACAAAGCAATATCTAGCTTCCCTTCCTTGCTATACCCATCAATTAAGGTAGTGTAAGTGACTACATTCAACCTTAAACCTTGTTCAGCCATTACTTCAAGTGCCTTGCAAGCTAAATCCAGCTCACCTCCTTTGCAAAATCCACAAATAAGTTCAGTATAAGTCCACTCATCAGGCTTGTGTCCATTTTCTTTCATCAGATAAACCATCCGAATGGCATTATTATGGTTGCCAATCTTACAGTATCCATATATGATAGTGTTATAAGTAATCTGGTTTGGTGGAGGACCTGATATGAGCAATCTGTGAAAGAGAACCATTGCCTTTTCAACAGCACCAACCAGGCAGAATCCCTTCATCATCTCATTGTAGGTCTGCAAATTCGGCATGCAACCTCGCCCCTCCATTGCTTCAAAAACCTTTGTGGCAGATTGAATTCTCCTCTTCTCACACAACCCATCGATCAAAGCATTATATGTGATCGTATTCGGAGTCATTCCTTCCCTCAGCATCTTATGAAACAACCCAATTGCCAAGTGAAGTCCATCAGATTTGCAGAACCCACTGATAAGGGCTGTGTAAGTTTGCACATTAGGCATGCATCTCCTACTCCTCATATCAATCACCAACCTGCAGGCCTTGCTTACCTGCCCAGAGTTGCAAAGGACTGAAATTGGGACAGTGTATGTGTATACAGTTGGCTGCACGCCCTTCTGCACCATCACATTCATTAGCCCTAATGCTTCATCCACCTTACCATCATCACATAGTCCATTGATCAGCGTCGAGTATGTCACAGAATTCGGGTTGCATCCCTCCTTAACCATCCATTCAAAGATCCAAAATGCTGAATTGAGATCACAATTCCTACAATGCCCAAGTATCAGCGAGGTGTAAGTAAAAGTATCGGGCTTCATCTCGAGCTGCAAAATCCTACTCAAGATGCATCCAGCCTCCTTGACCTTGCCATCCCTACACAAAATATTGATCATAGTATTGTAAGTCAAGAGATTCGGCTCCATGCCACGGCCCAACATCTGGCGGTAAACATTCATCGCAACCCCGACCATCTGAAGCTTCCCCAGCTGGATCAAGATGCCGTTATAGCAATAAAGATCGAGCACCAATCCGTCGCTCCTCGAGCCATTCAAGAAATCGATGACGCGGATCATATCATCCATAGTCTCGAAAGATCTGACCATCTGGCTGCAGGCGCGATTGGCGGGCGTGAGCATCCTCGCGGCGAGGAGCCGATCGATCAGCGCGAAGTAGTCGTCCGGACAGGGTTTGTAGAAATGCCGCTGAGAGAGCCAGCGGAGGAAGGAGACGGCGCGGCAGGGGTCGAGGTGGGTTCGCAGGATCTCAGGTACGTGGCGGGGGAGGAGGGCTTCGGCGAGGTGGATGAGATCGGGACTATTGGCCCACTTGGTCTGGGAGAGGATATGCTGGGCTTTGGAGACGACCCACTCTTCTTCCTCGTCGTCTTCTCCTCCCCCTCGTCTCGGTCGTTGCTGCAGAGATTCCTGGGAGTGGGGGAGGAAGGAAAGGAAGAGGTGGGAGAGAGGAGAAGCGAGGGAGAGGAGAGAGAAGGATGAAGGGTGACTCGGGAGAGAGGGAGGGAGGAGGAGTCTCACCATTAGAGGTGACGAAGAGTTTCATCTCATCTCATTGGGAGATAAAGCAAGTAGGTTTCCAGAAGGGAACCGCCCCGGGGGCGCCCAGGGAGTGGGTGGGTGTGTGGGTGTGTGTGGGGAGGGGTTGGGTTTGGGGAGAGAGAGAGAGAGAGGAGAAATAGCGTTTCTTGGTCAATGAGAAGCCATAGGTTTTGGATTTAGGTTTTGGATTTAGGTTTTGTTAACAGGAAGGGGGAAACCAGAAGAGGATCCGTACATTTAAGGTGGGATACGTGTGGAGAGAGAGGGGAACGACTTGTGGCCATTTGAGGTAAGTGATGATGTATTATAGACGGCATTATTGTGTATACTAAAAAAAAATTACTATTCACATTTCTCTCTTTATAATCCCTTTATTATTAATAATCTTTAAAAAATAATAAAATATTATTTTATTATTTACATTTTTAATATTACCGATTTTATCATTTTTTTCTTCATAAGTCTCACTTGCCTTGAGTACCATCAAGTATGGTTGTCAACGTTGAGCCATAGCTCAAACTCAACCATCCCAACCTTTGTGCGCTCCATATTCTTCCAAGCTTGCTTGTTCTCATGGTGCCTTTTGCGCGAAGGGTTGACCATTCCTCTGAATGCCAATCTCAGATGCTCGATCCTCCGAGCAACTCCTTTTCCCTACATCTCCATGCCCGTTTTTCCCCAAATGGTCACGCGTGTGCTGACTGCTCTCAACGCAGCCCCGCTAGGTCCCCCACATTTGTATGCTAAATGTTTCTATGAGTGCTTGTCCCGCTCTTATACTATCTGTCACGGACTTAGCTGGTTTTACCTAAGTCGTACGGCACCCTTGCATGTCCATCCGCAAAGATCAGCCTCCTCGAAGCCTCCCATGGTCCCTTAGGACCCACAAAAGAGAAAACGGGTTAGAGAGAATACCTCACTCGGGATCCATAAGCAAACATTCCAGGAAACACTTCATAGACAATGCAAATTACAAACAGACTTTACAAGCTCTGAAAAGTTGCACAACAAAGGGTCAAAATGATCCATTACAGACCGAAAATCTTTCACAAGTGTCCATATGACACAACCTTTATTTGCATACCTAAAGCGGCCACCAAACCCAACTAAAATTGGATTATTAAGCCTTCGGTCATCCCTTTACATGTTGTGCATAGCATAAACATACCAAAAGACATGGACATACATAAGTATTACATTAAACATCTTGTTTAGAAGTTTGTTCGTGACAAGTTGTCACGGGTGGTAGGCGGTAGCACCACCCAGCTAGCGATGCCACCGCCCGTAACCTGCCCTTTATAAACAACAAGTTAGGGCCGACGGTAGAATCAACCCCAACCCATTCTGCACTTCTCCAAATAGCACCAAACTTCTTGAATCTCTTGCTCTCCCTCTAGCAACTCAAAAATCCCCACTTCCTCTTAAAACATGGATCAATCTCCGACATCCTTTTGGAGATCACTAGAAGGAAAAACTTCTAAGGTAAATATCTAAACCAAATTGATTTCCCCTTTGTATAACTTATTTTTGTCACTTATTTGTCTTCATAATTGTAGTCTCCATGAGTTCTAGAAGATCCTCTAGGGATAAAAGGAAGAGGAGATTAGATGAAAACTATGACTCCTTACTTTTAGATTCTAATCAACATGTCCTTAAATTTTCATCGAGTCTAGAAATGTTCATAAGGGTAAATATATTGATTTAGAGAAATTAAGTGATTTGGAACCCATTCAATGGTTTGCTAATCTAGACATTTGCCCAATCCTTCAAATAAGTGAGCCTATCTACCCTAGAATTGTTAAGCTATTTTACAATAATTTACCTGTAGATGAAAACAAAAAGGTATCTACCTATCTCTTAGGACATCATATACCCATTTCGGATAACATAATTTGCAACCTCATAGGAATTGCAGAGAAAGAAAAAGACAATTATTTTAGAGGACAACAGGATGAAGAATCAGTTAGGACTACTTATACTGATGCCTTATGTCACGCCCCTCCGAATAATATCGATAATATTAAAATTTTCCATCACAAATCAATCCAGGATCCAAACTAACATTTAAGGACACCGAGAAACATTCAGTCAAATTCACATCCATAAAACCTGTGCAGTTTATAATCATGTATCACATCACTCGATAATTCACATTTATGGAAACCCAAGCCAACTTAACAAAACATTAACAACACTTACAAATCCATAAGCTAAACAATTTATACAATCAAAACTTCAACCATTTACCACCAGTTCATATCATTGTAAACTAAATTTAACATTCCGAAATTCCAAATAAGAGAGATCTTCTAACACTTTTACAAGATATATCCATTCAAGTTTATCGACAACATTTCATTACATACAAAATATGCTTATACAACAATAACATAACAACCTACAAGACTTGCCCACAATTCTAAATAGCTCTCCACTGTCTCAGTCTAATTCAAACATCTCAAAGAGTGGTAAGCTAACTTGAAAGATTTATATAATAATGGAGTGAGCTAAAAAAATACCTCAGCAAGTGACAAAACATATCCAGAACAAAAGGAATAGTTTCAAACAAGTAAGGTATCACAATGCAAGGTAGAATACAAGAGATTCAAGGATACCATCTCATTAGATACAAAATCGTAAATGTTATTTCAATCAAAATATATTTGGTTCATAAAAATGGAGCACAGAGTAATTGAAGCATATCAATAGCGTATGAGATGTTCTGGAGCATATCAATGACATATGGAACATTTCGAAGCATAACAATGACAGATAAAATATTTCGGAGCATATCTATGGCATAGGAAATGTTTCGGAGTATATCAATAACGAATGAAACATTTCGGAGCTTATCAATGGTGTATGAAATATTTTAGAGCATATCAATGACAAATGAAGTATTTCAAAATATATCAATGGTATATGAAATATTTCAAAGCGTATCAATGGTGTATGAACATTTCAGAGGCATAGGGAGCATTCCGGAACATATCAATAGCATATGAAATATTTCAGAGCACATCAACGACATATGAACCATTTCGAAGCATATCAAAGAACAAATACGAAACAGAAGCTCAAACGTCGTATTTGACGTTGCATTCATATCATTCTTATCCAAAGCATGTATAGAAAAACATAACCAAAACTCTAGATATTATATCAAACATACAGAAGGTGTAGTGGAACCATAGACAGAATGTGATTCATCCATTTCTGAATGACCACCAGACATAAGTCTCCCACGTTTAGGAGCTCCAACCACCTACGTCTAGGTGAAGTCAAAGGGGGCCGGTAGAGCATCGTAGGCTCTATGTATAACTCCCTTTACCATTTCTAGCAAAGGTTCATAGTATCTCACAAACACCAAAGTACAAAAGGACAGTATGAACAATAAAATTAGCACATATCAGAAGCACATGCGGAACAACGAAACATACATGTGCTTTTATAAGTCAATACGATGCAAACATAATCTTTCACAAATGTATTCAAACTTGAAAAGAAACCAAGGCAAGAGCATACAAGGATTTTAGCATATATCATACGCATATGCGGAACAACGAAACATACATGTGCCCATACGAAACAATGCGATACAACATAAACTTTACATAATAGGTTTCAAGAATGCAAATAATTTAAGGACAAGAGCATACAAGAATACAAAGCAGTAATATAAAGCTCATTTGAAGAAAGAATGCTAAATAAAATCAATTTCCAAAGGAAATGGAATAAGAACAGGCGAAATCAACCAAAGCTCAATTTCTAACAGAATTCGAGAGGCACATTGGACAAATGATTCAAACTATCAATTATACTCTAATTTACTCAGGAAATATATCATTGAAAAGATATTTCAACCTACTTTCAGATAAAACAAGCTTTATATGAATTGAAGTTCCCAATAGAGAGTTACAAATAATTTGGTAAACAAAAGTCGGAGAACAAGATCTCTATTTGGTCGAATTCATAGGATCGGTTTCAACAGATAGTTAGGCAAGTATTTGTACTCCAAATCTTTCATTCTAGGTATAAAAAAACAGATATTGGAGTCTAGTTTCCAACAAAATAAATTTACATAAATCATTATTCTCAGCATAGACTTATAAGCAATTTAGTATCAAAAGGTTAGAAGGTACGGACTCTGTTTTGTAGAATCCGTAGGGTCAATCGAAACAGAAGTTTAGGCAAGCAAATATACTCCAAATTATTCAAACAAGCTGTCAAAAGAAAGGTTTCCGAGTCTATATTCCGATCAAATAAGTTTTGTCCAGATTGAAAATCTATGTAGGGATTTATAGCTAAAACAATGTGGAAGGGTCAGAATCTCGAAAGTTTTCTATATTCAAATCATTACGTCTAAACAAGAGATGTATCAAATGTAAGGATAGAACAATTCAAAGTTTTAATATTCAAGGCAAAAACAAAGATGGAATTGCAGTAGAAAAGATTGAAACACATGCAATAGGAAGGATCAGAACACTTGCAATAGGAAAGATCAGAACACTTGCAATAGGAAAAATTGAAACACTTGCAATAAGAAGAATCAGAACACTAGCAATAGAAAGGATTAGAACACTTGCAATAGGAAAGATCGAAACACTTGCAACAGAAAAGATCGAAATCGAAACACTTGCAATAGGAAAGATCAAAACACTTGCAGAAGAAAAGGTTTAGGACACTTGCATGAGAAAAGATTGGGGCACTTGCCTTTCGAAGGTTTTGATCCAAAGATCCGAAGAAGGTGTAAGCCCAAATCCTTCTTTTACTTTTCCTCCATGTCCTCTCCCTATTTCATTTTCTGCACCTATCTTCTTTTTCGCAGTCGCAGACGTAGCCACGGTCGCAGCCGCAGCCACCGTCGTAGCCCCTTCCACTTCACTACTTCTTTTCTTCTTTCTCTCATTCCTTCTTTTTCTTTCCCAAATGCCGCAGCCGCAATCGTACCGCTGCCACAGCTGCAACCACAACCACTTTTCCCTCTTCCTCTTCCCTCTTTTCTCCCTCTTCTTCTTCCTTTCCTTCTCTTTTTTCCCAGCTGCAACTGCTGCAGTCGTAGCCGCAGCCACGACCGCAACCTCT